TTTGATCGCACAGTTTGATCACCAGTTTTATGCAAAGTGCGTCTCTACATACCCTCTGGTACTCCCTGATTCACTTTATAGTTCTTATCTCCATCAATCACTTCGGCATTGGCGAGCACCTTGAATGTCGATTTTCCCGTCCAAAATTCATTCAATTTGTTTGTTGATTCGTGATTGTCGCCTTTGAATCTCCATGTGTCTCTGATTATGATACATACACATTTGTATGTACAGGATTTTAATATTGTATAATATATATATAATGATACACACAATATATACAATATACATAATGTCCATATAAATATATATAGTTACATATATATATATAGATATATACACATACAAGTATTATGCATGTCGGGGGAAGCTAGTTGGTAAAGGCCACATCGGGATCCATAGATGTCCCAGGTGAAGATCTCTTGGTGTCAAGGTGGAAAGGCGCGCACCGCGCACCTGGACGATGGTTTTGTATTTCCATAAAAATGGAGATTTTCAACAACAAAACTTTGACTTTCAGCTTGTTTTGAATTTATACAAGAACAGTTTCTTGTTTCACTCCCCTGATTTTTGGTGGGTTGAAACCACCAACCAGCTATGAGCCTGACACCAAGTGGAAGACCGACCCCCCCAGATGGCAGCAGAACAAACTAATGTCGTGAGGTAAATCAATGTAAATCATTGAAAACAGCAAACCCAAGGAGAATCCATGCTACCTTCTTGTGGCTTCTTGGTGGTTGTACAAACTAAACCTCGAGAAATTGAGGTCAAAAAAGTAAGTTCTTAGCCCTTTCCCAAGGGCTTCATCAGATGGCTGAAACCGAAAGCTGATCTGCAGCAGTTCTTGGATTCTACATTGACTGGTTGGTGGTTTCAAACATGTGTTGTTTTCCAAAATATATATGGGATAATCCTTCCCGTTGACTTTCATATTTTGCAAGATGGTTATTGCACCACCAACCAGTGATGATTTTTGGATTAACCACTATTAACCACTATTAACCATTATTAACCATTATTAACCATAGAAATCACCATTAAAACCCATTGATCTAGATTGTGGCCCAACATCATCGACGATGAAATTTATGATCTCGATGATTTCCCAGCCATGTTCTTTTCGATGATGACATCCATTTGCAAGAGATAGTCCCAAGAAAAACATCGTGGGCCCCCGCCAGTTATAATGAAGTTGGATTATATAACCCCATCTAAGTAGTTCAATATATCATAATCCTCAACAAACACCAGCTATTGTCGTTTTAAAACAACACAAAAACGATCAAAAACGGGGTTCCCACTGTGGAATTTGCCACGGAGGCGGAGGGAAGGAATGTCCTGGTTCTTCTACACGGCTGGATGGGTCAAAAGGTGCGGGTGGATCAGTCGTGACTCGTGGGCTTGAAAGCCATGCTTGAGGAACGGGATTAAAAGAACATGTTAAAACCATCCAAAAAATCAAAAGATGTGGATATATTTGTGGATATGTTTATGGGTCAATACCTATAGATACATTTTTAGTGGGATGAACATCAATTTACCAGCTATTTTGGGGTTCACTAGGTACCAGGGTTTTGACCCATCCCCATATTATTTAGATAAACTGCTTGGTTGATGATATGTACATGTATACGGGATTATTATTGTCCATGAAATGGGAATCCCCACGAACAACACCAACAGGAAATGGGTATGAGAAATGATGATATCCTCCGGAAATCAAACGTGGCAAGTGAAAATCCTTCATTGCTGGATGATTCTCCCATTTAAATCCTTCCCATGGATTTTTTATGGGAAAAACCATGGTTTTTTAATGGGAAAAAGCATGGTTTTAATGGGAAAACCATCTATAAATGATGGATCTTCCATTGCCACCTTTGATGAAACCAGAGGGTCAACCTGCCAAAAACCATTGACAAAACAGGACACCGCCTTCGTCTCGTCGGCATAACTCATAGGGAGACCAAGGAACTGGATGATCCGTCACTTTTCCCATGCAAATTTGCCATTGCCATTCGGGCATATCCATGGACAAAAGCCATACAACCATCTTCCCATACTGTTGGCCATCCAGTGATATTCCCATGATATTCCCATGATATTCCCATGATATTCTCATGATATTCCCATGATATTCCCATGATATTCCCATGATATTCCCATGATATTCCCATGATATTCCCGTGATATTCCCATGATATTCCCGTGATATTCCCATGATATTCCCGTGATATTCCCATGATATTCCCATGATATTCCCATGATATTCCCATGATATTCCCATGATATTCCCATGATATTCCCATGCTATTCCCATGATATTCCCATGATATTCCCATGATATTCCCATGCTATTCCCATGATATTCCCATGATATTCCCATGATATTCCCATGATATTCCCATGATATTCCCATGATATTCCCGTGATATTCCCATGATATTCCCATGATATTCCCATGATATTCCCATGATATTCCCATGATATTCCCATGATATTCCCATGATATTCCCATGATATTCCCATGATATTCCCATGATATTCCCATGATATTCCCATGATATTCCCATGATATTCCCATGATAATCCCATGATATTCCCATGATATTCCCATGATATTCCCATGATATTCCCATGATATTCCCATGATATTCCCATGATATTCCCATGATATTCCCATGATATTCCCGTGATATTCCCATGATATTCCCATGATATTCCCATGATATTCCCATGATAATCCCATGATATTCCCATGATATTCCCATGATATTCCCATGATATTCCCATGATATTCCCATGATATTCCCATGATATTCCCATGATATTCCCATGATATTCCCGTGATATTCCCATGATATTCCCATGATATTCCCATGATATTCCCATGAGATCTGTTATTTCTCCCCAAAAAAATAACGATTTCCTGATCGCCAGAGGGTTCGGCCTCGTCGACTCGTCCGAATGGAATCGGAATGGCGGAACAAGCGCAACGGTACCGTTAGGTGGTGCCCCCCTAGTTATGTTTGTTGGTTTTAATTCCCATGAACTATAGATATAACCATAGTATATAAATGGACTAAAAATAAGTTGCTTTTAATCCCCCTAAAACCATCTATAGAAAGTTCAGCCCCAAAAAAAAACACAGTGAAATTGGACTTCTTGGCACCATGCTGTAGGCGATTCCGGGCCCTGGGGCCCTGGGGCCCCATCCAGGCGGACTGGAAATTGGTGAGCCAAATCCTGATGGAGGAAGGGATCCGGGGATGATCCGGGGATGATCCGGGATAGCCCGGTTGGACCCGGTTGGACCCGTTGGATCAATGGTTTTCTGGCCCGTTTTTCTGTCCGTTGAAGCCATTGAAAAGCCATGGGGAAATGGAGCTTTAACGTAGAAAAAACATGTGATGATGTAACTTTTGCTGATTTCATGATGATTTCCTGATAGCTGTGGGTTTGTTGGATTCACAAAGGCTGTTGCCTTGATGACTGGGGAATACTCGGGCCCCACGATGTATTGAAAGCTGGGTGCTACATCACCCACAGAAGATCTGCATCCCAACGATAATGCAGACAAGTTGGATGATGACTGCGGTAAAGTCAACAACTACCCTCTGGTAATTTGTTACATAGCTATGGAAAATGGCCCATTTATAGTGGATTTACCCATTGAAATGGTGATTTTCCATAGTTATGTTAGTTTACCAGAGGGTATTCTCAATTTCAATTCTTTAGAACCAGATTCAGAAATTGCCTGGAATCAGGCTTGGGATTCCAGGATTTAAAAATGTGTTTTCTTTTTTTCCAGCCCAAAGGAAGATAATTAAGTAAAACGTCTCCGCCGATTTATACGTACTTTCATGTCGCATATGGAACAATTTTGTTCCCCACCTGCCAGGTGAGGGTTGTTAGATTTTATGTCAGTTGCCTGGTCCTCCTCCTCCTCCTCCTCTCCTCTCCTCCTCCTCTCGTTGTCCTCCTCCTCTCGTTGTCCTCCTCGTCCTCCTGCTCAACTGCGACTCGCGATCCACAGTGTTCTCTGTCGGACCTCAACCACGACCATCCACGCCCAGTGTTCCCTGCCGGACCTCAACCACGACCATCCACGCCCAATGTTCCCTTCCGGACCTCAACCACGACCATCCTCGCCCAGTGTTCCCTGCCGGACCTCAACCACGACCATCCACGCCCAGTGTTCCCTGCCGGACCTCAACCGCGAGTATCCCCGCCCAGTGTTCCCTGCCGGACCTCAACCACGACCATCCACGCCCAGTGTTCCCTGCCGGACCTCAACCGCGAGCATCCACGCCAAAAGATATGCCACATAGAGTGCCAGAAGATATGCCAGATAGAATGTTAGAAGATATGCCAGATAGAATGCCAGAAGGTATGCCAGATAGAATGCCAGATAGAATGTCAGCTAGAATGCCAGAAGATATGCCAGATAAAGGCCAGAATGTTTGCCAGATAGAATGCCAGCAGATTTGCCAGATAATATGCCAGAAGATATGCTAGATAGAATGCCAGATGGAATGCCAGAAGATTTGCTAGATAATATGCCAGAAGATATGCCAGATAGAATGCCAGATGGAATGCCAGAAGATATGCCAGAACATTTGCCAGAAGATATGCCAGAAGATATGCCAGAACATCTGCCAGAAGCTATGCCAGAACATCTGCCAGAAGATATGCCAGGTAGAATGCCAGAAGATATGCCAGATAGAATGCCAGATCGAATGCCAGAAAATATGTCAGATAGAATGCCAGAAGATTTGCCAGTAACAAAATGTATAAATGTCATGGTGGGGATCACACGAAGTAAAGTATTTTTTTTCTGCCGAAATTCGCAGGAAAAGCTCAGATGTTCTGGCAGCCAGATCAAGGATTTTTCGCCACTGAAATCTCAGCGCTCAGGAGGGTTGTAGCATTCTGGCACTGGATTTACCTGGCCATGGCGACACGCAGGCGGCTGGTGAAACTGGTGATCCCCTGAAAACAGTGAAGTCTCCATGGGATGAAAAATGTTGAACATACGGTGGATGGTTGGGTTGCGAAATCCTGCACCACCTTGTATGGTTGAAACCCTATAAATAGTGGGATAAACCATCTATCAACTGGTGCAGGATTTCGCAACCATCCACAATATCACTTAGATGATCTTTTGAGCCATTATAAGCGAGTTATAAGTGGCTATAGGGCTACAACTGTAAGGTCAATCATTGGTTAGAAATGCTATTGTCACGGATGGATCTATAATGTGAATCCCGGATTAATAACCCTGCAGTCTATTAATATGGGGGGGGTTCCCAAAAATATTGATTTTTCCCTTCAGAAATGGTACAGCCATGAACTTTGGTTGGTGTGTCCAAGGCTAGCCGTGCACACAGCTGGCCTACTCCGAAAGCAGTTGCAAACCTGAAGATGCAAAGCATTGCAAAGCCAAACCAGAAAGTGGCAACCCAAAACCGGAAGATTAAATTATATACCATTCTTGGGGCAGAACCCTGGAACATGATATTTTTGTGGACAGACTCAAAACCTGAAAATGACAATTTCAGGTTGCACAACTAGTAGTTAGGCTGGTTGCAAAGACAAGGGACTGAGAGGACTTTCATCCTGATCCTCGAACGAATGAAAGACACATGGCCAGGATAAGTCCCAAAAAACGCGATGTGTTTGTTTTGTTCTCAAACAATAAGTGAAAATAGTTCATATGTATATATATATATAATTATATATACCCAACAGTGTTTTCGTTCAGTTACACCATTTCATTGCCCTGTCATCAGTTCAAGTCAGGTGGCGGATGGATCCTGGGAGGCCGCGGGCGAGAAAGGACGTTGAAACGATGGCGCGTGTTGAGAAAAACCACCCATGGCTTATTAAAGTAAAGAATGGGTCAACTGACTGGTTAGCTTATGTTTAGTATACTTTAGTACTGTACCTTAATCTTTTGATTTGATTAGGTCACATGTACTAAATAACAAGCGAAAGATGATATTTTCTGGCAGGTACCTAAGATTCATCGTGGAGAATGGGGGAATACCCTTTGGTAATTCAACATAGCTATGGAAAATCATAATTTTTCAATAGGTGCATAATCTATAAAAGGACCGTTTCCATAGCTATTTTAAGTTCCTGGATGGTATAAGGGGTTCTAGTGGGGATATAAGGGGGATGTACTCTGACAGACACTAACTATTCATCTGGCAATTGTGGCGACCTCAGATCGACCTCAGCATGAATGATGGTTAGAGACATGGGATTTGTCCTGAAAATTGCCTTATTTCATCATTGTGGAACATAGTAATCTTCCCCAGATTCATAGGTATAGGCGGTACAGGCCGATTCTGTGACCATTGGAGGATGCAGAAAGGATTGCTGGTTGGTGGTTTCAAACATTTTTTATTTTTCCATTCAGTTGGGAATGTCATCATCCCAACTGACGAACTCCATCATTTTTCAGAGGGGTAGGGCTCAACCAACAACCAGCTTATTTTGGGCAAGATCCCTCGGAAATTTCTTGGAGTTTGATCGATGGCCACATTGCCTTCATCCACTCCACCTGGCCATTGATGGAGGGTTACTCCGATTTTCAACAACCAATAGGTATAAATAGTGGTGCCCCAGTTCGCCAAGTTGGTGCAAATATGTCCAATAACTATGGTTTATAGGTGAGATATCGAACTAGTTAATGGGATTATGACCCATTTATAAATAGTATACATAGTATACAAACCCCGGCCCATTTTGTTCTAGATTTTTCCTAACATGACAAGATTTGATTGATGATTTTGGCTGGAAAAAACTCACAGATTCTCCAAGGCTTTTGACGTTGCAGATTTCCCTAAAATCCCATATGGTAAATCCCCAAAAAAGTATTTTAAATCTATGGTAAATCCCCTATAGATGTATGGTAAATCCCAATAAGATAGCTATGATTTCCGATGTTTCAAGCATCGCCACTTCGCTGATCTTCGCTGATCTTCGCTGATCGCTGCCAGGCATCGGCGCTCTACAGCATGCCTTTGCTGATCGAGGCTTCGACCAACGTCCATGGGGTCATCTCTGGAGTTTTTCAAAAAACGTCCGTGGAAATCAGAACAGAAACCTCTGCTGGTTGGTGCTTTGGAACCATGGATTTTTATGACTTTCCATATATTGGGAAGTTCATCATCCCAACTGACGAACTCCATCATTTTTCAGAGGGGTAGGTATACCACCAACCAGTTTATGTCAGATTGCATCTCGGATTTGGAGCTGTTTTTGTTTACCAAACTTAACTTATTATGTATTAATCACTTGATCTATTATAGATGACCCTCCAAGGAACAGTCAGTAACAGTAGTAAGTTGGCCGCCATGACTCAGTTAGAGAATGTTGGAGAATTCTATCCATGCTTTTCGGCCAGCCTACTCACTATGATGGACAATGCTGGGGCATAAAGAAAACACCTCCGCAAACTTTTTTTTTCGTTCCAAACTAGGGCTTGGAGGTCGCTCGCGGAGGATTCCTAGGACAACAAATCCAGGATAATCCAGGGACATCCAGGGACTAAGTCGTCTTTTTGTTGAGAACTCTCATGGCTCACAGCAAATTTCCACATGTTTCTGCAGCATTTCTCAAAGGTAAGCGCGGGTAGGAACGCAGTGGAGAACTGCGGATGGCGCGCCTCCTGTCAGCATTGAGGGGTAGCCTTTTTTCAGCCATCAGTGGGGGTACAAAATGTCGAACATGGTGATTATATTCGCTGATCTAAGCGTAACGAACAGAACTGGAGATGTCTTTACATTATAATTAATTAATCAGGATTTAAGTAACAACGAACAATGGGATTTCATCAGCAAGAAACCAACAAATATCCGGATTTATTACAACAACAATGGGGTTACAAACAGCGGTAATATGAGCACAGGTCAAAGCAGAGCCGGATTCGTTGGTGATTTTGACATGCGCAAATGGTCTATTTTAGGTGTACTGACTGACAGGGTGTACCTATCTTTGACACATGCCCACATGAGATATTTGGAATTGGCGCAAAAACACTGAACTCTTTCTGTTTTTCGATACTTAGACCGTACACCGGGAAATCAAAAAATGAAACAATTAAACAATGAAAACGTAGACCCATAATTAGATTCATTGATTCATTGAAGCAGATACATTGAAGCAGATAAAAAATGATAAACATACGTATTAATGTGGTTACCATCCCACAAATCACAATAAATAGGTGGTATAAACCATTCCCAAATGGGTGGTTTATGATTGTTTTAAGCACATTACAGGTGATGAAATGTGATCAATTTGTAGACGTAGTGGGTGATCCAGCTGATTTTTAGTCACGTACCCACCAGAGACAAGATCTTTGATGGTGAATGGTTCGTTGCTTAAAGTCCTACATATTTCACCGGAAATGGACATAGCAAAATGTATTGACATGATATGTATATGATATACATTATGCATGCTACATACATATATATATATATACATATATGGGGGTTTCCTGAAATGGGGGTACCTCCAAATCATCTATTTATAGATGGATTTTCCATTATAACCCATTGTAGGAAACCACCATATAGGTGTGTTTGCTTGAAGGACTGACTACGTTTCTTGCCTATTTTTCCCATCATGTTTCCGGATTCCAAACCGCCGGCCACGATGATTTTTTCCCAGCAAGGCCTTCTGGAGGCGGCGAGAATTCGCGGCGGCTGAAGCGTTGACGGGACATGACTTGCGTTGACGGGTTGATGAAATATAGGGGGATATAAGATATGATAACAGTTGATAGATCCCATATGGTGTCTATAATACTGGTGCTTTTAATTTGGATATGGTGTTTATAATATATAGTTATCTAAACTAATTATAAATGGTATACCATAAACTATAGATATGTTGTTTTCTAAACATATGATAACATGATATAACTATAGTTTTATGGTGTTTAGAAAGCAACTCTTTAACTGGAGTGGTTATCACATGTGGTTGGTTCTTAGAATAGGTGCATGGATGTGGTTAGTGGCTTGAGGTGGCCTCTTGATGTCTTGAAAGTGTCTATTGAGTTATGACATGTCGTGAAAGATCATGACATATCATGAAATGTCATGAAGTTGGAATATTGACTGTATATGATTATATATACGTATTATATTAAATATTACTTATTATATATTATTATATATTATATATTATGTTATATATCATTATATATCATTATATATTATTATATATTATTATATATTATTATATATTATTATATATTATTATATATTATTATATATTATTATATATTATTATATATTATTATATATTATTATATATTATTATATAATATTATATATTATTATATATTATTATATATTATTATATATTATTATATATTATTATATATTATTTTATATTATTTTATATTATTATATATTATTATATATTATTTTATATTATTTTATATTATTATATATTATTATATATTATTATATATTATTATATATTATGATATATTATTATATATTATTATATATTATTATATATTATGATATATTAGTATTATATATTATTAAACATAATTATATATTATTATTACATATTATTATGTTTTTATATATAGTATTATATATAATTATGTATTATTGTATATTATGTATTATTATATATTGTTATATATTATTATATATATTATATTATTGTTTTTTATTTTTTTTTGTTATTATTATATATTATTTTATATAATGGTATATTATTATATTTATTATGTTTATTATACATTGTTTTGTATTATTATATATCATTATATTTTATATTATATATATATATTATTTTTATTTTTATATTAGTATATATTATTATATATTATGTATATGAAATGTATTATGTATATGATTTATATTTACATATTATTTTTTCTTGTGTTTATATATATATGTATGTATTATGTATATATATATATCATATGTGTAATATATATATATATATATATTACACATATGATATAGAACTGCAGGAACTTCAGACTTGGGGGTTCCAACCTCCCCGCGTTCTCGGCGACATCTTTTCCCTTGCGCTATTCCCTATCTCCACCAGGGCCGGAGCCGAGGCGGCCGAGGCACGTTGAAACGTTGTTTCAATAGTGGATTTTTACTAATGAAGCCTCTGGTAATTTAACAGTTTGCTGTGGAAAATCACCATTTTTCATGGAAATCAACTAGCTATGTTAAATTACCAGAGGGTATTTTTTTTCTAATGGTGTTTTTTTACTAATGGTGATTTACTAATGGTGATTTACATTGGGTTTACCACAGTAACTCCGATTTTCTGACAAAGCCAGGTTTTGATCATTGAAAAGTAGGCTTTGAGGGTGAGAAGATGCAAGGCATAAAGCAGAATCCCTTCCTCCGTTCATATTAAATCATATTCAACACCTCCTAGGAACCATCGTTTAGTGGCAAAAAATACGCTTACACTTGTTGTTATTATACCACGGAATGAATGGTGGTGTTTCATATTAAGTTGATGAGGTACCTTGGGACAAATGGTTGGGTTCAGCATGGTTTGACAGTCTCGGTTCCTGGGCTAGCCGACCATTTTTCACTGTGTTGCTGGGAAATCTACAGGAATCCATGTTTATAGTTGATTTTCCCAGCTATAAAATGGTGGATCTTTCCATAGTTTTTTATGTTAGTTTACCAGGCCGGGTAAATCCCATTAAATTCCATTAAACCACCATAAACCCTCATGAAAAATTACCATTTTCCTATGGTTTTCCCAATTCTGGGAATTGTTTTGTTGCAGGTTTCCTGGCATTGATTTGCTTCACCTGGGCTTGCTGCTTTGTAGAGGCGGGAAGGTGATTCCTTTTTTGGGGCTGTTCTACAGTGAGGCCCTCTGGTAAACATACAAAAAACTATAGAAAATCACCATTTTTAATGGATAAATCCACTATAAATGGCAATTTTCAATAGCAAACTGTTACAGTAGTTTACCAGAGGGTATCTGGGGACAATCTGGGGCAAAGACTTAGGAATCGGGTATCAGGTTGTATCATGTTGTATCCGATATTCGATCAAAAGGGACTACAGCCGAGTCATTGTAGCTCTTGACAAAGTTCCGATATCGTCACAGAGATTCAACGGCTTTCCCCTCCATTTGGCATCAAGCTCTTTCTGGTGTATCTTGACATTTGATGTGGGTTGTCTGTGTCTCAAGCCTGAACACAAAAAAACATGTTTTCCTCTCAAAGCAATTTCTTGCTTTTCTCTTTCAGTGACCTCTGAAGTCTTCATTATTCTGGATTCCATTCAAAACTGGATCAAGTTTCGAAAGAAATACCACCTCCCATTCAAAACAACTCTAAAGACCTGTTTTTACATCAGTTTCCAACCCCCAAAAATACCAAAAAAACAAACAACGACTCCAAGGAAAGCAGTGTTCCTCGTTGCCTCGTCGCGCCTCGTCGCGCCTCGTCGCTCGCGCAGGCACCGCTCAACGGGCGTCACTCGCTTCGCTCCGTGGCCGCCGCAGCCACCAAGCAAAGGGCGCAGCAACGCGCGCCGAAAGCACCGACGTCGCAGGGGAAGAGCAACAAGGCGAAGCTGGCGGTTGATGACTGTGACTCGTTGCGCCTCGTTTTGTTTGGATTTCAATGGACTTCAGAAATTGGCAACGTGATTTTTGATGGGATTTCACTAAGAAATCCTGGGGAAATCCCGACATTTTATGGAAATCCCCATGGAAATCCCAGGCAGTGCAAGAGGTCATCGACCTTGAGGACTTCGACGCCTGGGAGGCGGTTTTGACCAACTTTGGGGCTTTCCATGGGGGTACCCCCGCTGGATGGTTGATTTCAGGGAAAATCCATCTATAAATGGTGATTTATAGTGGATTTACCCAGCTATAAAATGGTGGATCTTTCCAGTTAGTTACGTTAGTTTACCAGAGGGTAATGGAAAATCCATCTATAAATGGATGATTTGGAGGTACCCCCCATGACTTAGGAAACACCCATACAAATTTATCTATAAATGGATGATTTATG